GCTGAAGGATAAAAGTCATACGAAAAAGTGATGCTGTATAAAACCCTAGTTAGGCAGCATCTATAATACTGCCTTTCTTAAACTGTGAGTTTGTTGTCACCAAAAGAAGTAGATGTGTGCAAAATTCAACAACTATTTATAGAGCTCCCAGTATGTGTCAGGTATTAGTCTAAATGCCTAGAAAGCCAGACAGACACTGTTACAAGATTACAGTATAGGTTGGGAAAAATGTTGATAGGGGATGGAATTAGTATAATGGTAAGGACAAAAGTGAAGCATTTTGTAGAATCATTTGGAAATGTTTTTGCGTAAAATCTTCACTATGACTACTTCTTCCACAGCCTAAGAAATATAACATCTTTAAAAAATTAAATGGTAAGAAAAAGACAACTGGGAAAAGAAAACAAGGATAGACTACATATAATAGTGAGAGTTTAAGGAATTTTATCTGTTATTAAGTGTCTTAAATTCTGGCTTCAGAGAGGTGGGTTAAACTTGAGTTTTTTGCTCCAGAAAATTTTTTATGCTTTGATGTAATTTTCTTTTGCTCTAGCTTCCTTTCATACTAGGATGAGGTAGAGGGTACAAACACCACTGAGTCAGTGTGAGCCTGCAATGCATGTATTAAAAATACTTTGGGAGACAGCAATTTGATTCTGTTACCTAGTTGGATTAATTAAAAGAAAACTTTGAAAAATAATTTTCTAATTGCCTTCTTCCTCTCATAATCCAAATTCTGGCCAAAGAGGCTTGATCACTTTCCATCCTTTTCCCTTGTTGGATGGGCACAACTGCCGACGGCCTTGAGATTTCCATTAGTTTTTCCCAAAACACAAGTTGTTTAAACCCTAAATGAGTAATGTAGGGCTTTAGGGATCCTTATCAGTTTGTCTGGGTTTGATTTAACATGTGCACAATCAGGGGTTGATACAGAGACTGTTACCAACTTTCTGGGCAGCTACTCTGAGGCACAAAGTCATGACTGCCACCACAGATGGTTCCACTAGTTCTGGGTTTTTATTGCCCCTATTTGCATATATTTAAGATGTACATCATGCTGTTCTAATATTCATATACATAGTGAAATTATTCCTATAGTTAAACCAATTAATCTCTCCATCACTTTTCCTAGTTATTTTTATTTTTATTGTTTGATGTTTTGGTTACTTAATAAGTGATGACTTAGAAAAGTTACCAGAGACTATACTGTATACAATATAATATTTCTATGACTTATGGCCTATGTACAGGGAACAACCATTTTACAGATAGCCACAGAAATAAGCAAAAGGGCCATAACCAGGTAAAAGTGGGTCATGGTCTCTATTTGTATACCTCTTTCTGTCATCACATTGAACAGTCTTTAAGAAAGGCGGTCTGGGAAGATTCTGTACAATAAAAGGTTATTATCCAATCAGGATCAAATCATAGTGTTCAGCACTAGACTCTGAATGGTACCTTTGGTTTCCCCAAACAAAAATTACTGGTTTTATGTGAACAATTTTCATGTATAATAATATACAGAGATTTTGTTTGTCTCATAATAATTTAAATAAGCAGTTGATTTTATTAACTTCCTTTTTCATGGAAACCACTACATTTCTGTCTCACAAACAACTAAATCAAAATAAAGAATGCCATGAGAGAACTCTTGCTTAAAAATGGGTAGTAATAGGATATTATAGGAGTGTTATAGTAATAAAGGCTTTTTTATTTCTAGCACACTATCTTCTTTTGTCAGAAAAATGTGGCTTTCTTGGATAGTTCCCAGCAGCATCAGTAAAGAGGCATCAGCAATATCATATCCCTCTTGATTTAGATTCGGCTGATGTGCCAAAACAGATAGCACTGAGCAACATGGCTATGTAGATTCATATCATTTCTCCCTTTTTCTGTCTCTGAGCCTTATGTTAGCAGTGTGAATCTGCAGTATTTTACCGACAGTCCCCTGGCACCAAGCTCAGATACAGTATTCTTCCCACAGAGAGAAAAGGAGGATTCATGATGATGATAAATGGAAAATTGTGAAGAGTTGTGCTGGTAGTTTGGGTTGAATTATAGAAGCATCCTTTCTAGGACAGTGTTCATAGGAAAAGACTATTACAATGGGCAATAAGATGCTGTCTTTGTCTCTTCAGAATGTGTTACAGAGAAACATTGATCTGAGTTATGTATATGTTCTCAAATAACTTTGCAGGAACAAAATAGTGACAAAATTAAATAGCTATGGCTCTAATCTAGTTCATTGCAGTTTGTCAACAGGCTTTTATGAAATCTTCTCAGGTGCTATTGAAAATTTAGGGTACTTGGACTAAAACTTCCTGTAAATTTTATGTTACTTAGATTCCCTTATTTCTCCCATTAATCAAGTTAGCAACTAAAATTGTGTCCAAGAACTGACAACCTTTTTTTAGAGAGGTTTGAAAAATAACTTCTTAACAGCTATCTTTCTATAGTGGAAAGAGAAGTGCTTTAGTGACCTGGGTACAAATCCCATTTCACCAATTTCTAGATTGTTTTTTAACTGCAGACAAATTACTTACCATTATTAGCTTCAGTTTCTCGTGTTTAAAATGATGCCACTAATACCTACCAAATAATGTTGTCATGGAAAATAACTATGATGGAAACTTCTAATTGTGTAGGATACTTGTCTCCTGCAGAGGGTCTCCTTCCTCCCCTCCCCTCTGCGCCTTTTCCCCCACCTCTCTTTTTCTTCAACTGGCTTTAACAACTTAGGAAAGAAACAGTGGAAATCCAAACACATTTTCATCGTTAAATAACATAAAATAATATAAGCCAAAAAATACAAATTGATAGAAGAAAAGCGTTTTCAAAGTATTCTCATTTTAAATTGGGTGGCTGATGGTAAAAACAATGATTATAGTATGGATCTGATAACTCTAAGTATAAATAAGTTTTCTTTATTCTCGCTATTATATGTAACCATCATTGTGCTTAATTGTTTTTAATTAAGAGAACCACTTGCTGAATTTGATGTGTCTATTTATGCCTATAACTTCCCTATTCCAAAAACAACTTAGATGACTTACAATAAAATCAAAGATAGAGTAATATCAAAACCTATTAGTCCAAACTAAAAAGAACTTCTGTTTCCTCTGCATTTCATCATAACCTTTTGATCCTTTTTTATTGTAAATATATGTTTAGCTGCTTTAAATTTACTTTTGTTTTTGTATTTGCTTTTAAGTCATTATTTGTCATATTGCTTGGAATGATCTTTAATACGTTAGTATAATGCACAGAGTGCCCGTGTTCAGATCCCAGCTCCTGCACTTATTGATATCCAAGGTAAATAAGCCAACACCAGTTAAAATGGTAAGGATAGATTTTATTCAGTAGTAGCTATTGCAATAGGAAAGTGGGTCCAGTGTGAAATGAATTTAACTTTGCCGAAACAAAATGGAGGAAACCTTTTAGAAGCTGGGGTGTGCTGAGGGAAAGGCACTGAAGGATGTCAAAGGGAGCTGGTCTGTGTGCCTGGGCCATCTGGGTTTGTTATTTGTGAGGAGGAACAAACTTATTATATCTTTATGATAGGAGGCAGTGGTGTCGATTAGAACATGGTACCCAGTGGACTGAGAGCTGTGCAGTTATTTCCCTGAATGTGAGAAGACATGTTTGGGTGGTGGAAGATTTACATTTCAAAGGAGCAGAGAAAGGATTTATAGTTAAAAGCTTTCTAAAGTAACTAATCTAAGAGTTCAGAGGCTTATGCTTGTTACCAGGTTTTGGCTAGAACAAATAATAAAATATCCTGGATACATTCAACTTTCTCTGGTAGGCATCTTAAAGGGTGGTAGGATCACATGAGGGGTGCAGCTGTGAGCTGTCAGAAACTATGTTAATGTGTTTGTTCATATCTCTTAATGTGTGTGTGTGTGTGTGTGTGTATGTATTGCGGGGAGAGGGTGGATAAAATCAGCACACTTCCTTATTGGCAAAATAAAGAGAATCTAAATTATAAAGACTTGAAACAAAGCTAAAATGAGAAACAATGGTATATATAAAGGTAGCAATTAAGACTGAATCACATTTTAGTATTTTTTTAAATTTTAAGATGTTTGTTTGATGTGTATTTGAACCTCCTGTTTCTTAACACAAAAGTAGAAACATAAGCACAAAATTCACAATTTTTTGGTGCTAATCATTAGGTTTAGAGGTACCAAATGATTTCTGTCCATGTTAGTGGAGTCTGATTATTCCAGCTCTGTGCAGTAATAATCCAGGAAGCATGAATTATTAAATGAGCGCAATCTGTATGTGTTTTGGGCATATTATCAACCATAGCACATACTTTACTGTGTATGGATTTTCATTAAAGAAGTGGAGTACACTGAATCTCATTCTCCTTAAGTTGTCATTTTTATCACTAAAAATTCTTGATGTTAAAACATTTGATAGTGAAAAAATGACCATTTAGATGAGACCAATAACTAGAAAAGAAATAATAGCTTGAGCTAATGTTGATTTCTTCAACGTATTATATAAAAATCTTAAGGTAAGAGAGAACAACCAAAAATAATATGCTTTAAGACCAACTTTTATTCATCGTACTTCTGTAATATTTGAGACATTTGTAATGTGATTCAGTAAATTAAATATTTAATTTTTCAAAAAGCAAAGAAGGTCAAAGCTAACTTCTACCATATTGAAATCAAATGCATTAAATTGTTCTACTCTTTTTGTAAAAGCATTTAAAATGTTGCCTTTTAACTGTGACAGTATTAGAAATATCATTCATGATGATTGGTTTTATAAATAGGATCTAAAGTTGTTTAGGAAAGAGTCTTAGACAAACTTTTAGGGTATCTATGTTCTGGACTTAGCCCTTCCACTCACCTGGCACTCAAACCTCAGCAGGAAACCTACCCACACTGAGTACTTTTTTCAGTCATAGAGGCCATGCTTTTAATAGTTATTATTTCTTCCTTACCAGCAACAGTTTAATTTGGATTTTTTTATCTTTTTTTTAATAGTCTGATACATACTTCTGCATGTCAGTGCGATTGCCAGTGGATGAGGAAGCCTTCGTGAGTAAGTATTAATTGGATTGGGGGAGCAGCAGTTGAATGGAGGGCAGCTATTTCAAATCGGTGAAAGGTTCTCTTTGAGGGTTATGAGCATATTAATCTTTTACTGTCAGTTTCTAAAATGCATTTATCATGCCTAATGCAGAAACAAACTAGAAAGAGCCACTGAGAGGCAAGATTACAAACTGTATCTGGGGAGATTCATGCTTAGTAGTAGTTAAGGAGTTGCATGTAGACGTCGATGACTGCCAATACTGTGTGGTCCCATTTGTATAGTATTGGCTTTCTGTCTGTGGCAGGATGCTTAATTCCACTCCACTAAACAGACGGTTTATTTACCTGCTGGTTCATGCTATAAATCGACTGCACTTAGAATCAACATTGGTGAATGTAAGATTTTACCTGTCAGGTAGATGGATAGAAAGGAAGGGAAGGAGAGAGGGAGGGAGGGAGGAAGGGACAAGAAGGGAAAGGAGAGCCAGAAAAGAAAAGAAGTGGAAAAAAGAACATTTATCTTGTTCATATTCTATAATAAGATAACACTTAAGTGACAGTTCCTTCCCCAACTGAGCCTTTAAATCAGAGAGGAAAAGTGACAAAGCACCATCTGTTTCCATCTAGGTTGTTTCAGTTTAAACATCCCTTATAACAGACATTTAACTGTTTAGGGAGGAGCTGTGATTGGCAAATTATTTATATATTTGGCTTTTCTCTACTTCATGTTTAAACATTTGAGACGTTGATTTTGGAAAGTGATGGTAGTGGTACTTCGGTCCCCTGAAACTGATCTTCAAGTGGGATGTCTGAAATGGCTATTATGTAAATTGTGAAATGTGTACAGTAGCCTTGGGGCAGTCTGATGATGAATTTTCATGAGGTTTTTCCCACAGGAATGGACGTTATAGACCTGCAAAGCCAGAGCAATGTGCATTCTTTATTCACACACATTGGTGGCAATCACAACAGAAAATACAAACTTTAAAAACACTCTCAACAAAATTTGCGGCATAGTTAATTCCTAAGAATGAAAGACCATACGAAGTTGAACACTGATGACATTGTATAATATTTGGATATTACCAAGAAAAAGTTAGGGAGCAAAGTGCTCCCATATCCTGAATTGAGTATCTTTCAAGAAAAAGCAATGTAAGTTTCTAACTGCAGTGCTTGAGTAACACTAAATATTATTCAGGATATCAATTCATCATTAAAGCCTGAGCCAGAAAACTTTCCTTAATTTCATATCCACATACTTGGCTACCTAGGAGAAAATAATATTTATTCACAAAAGAAATTCTACATGAATTTATTTTTCCTAATTTATATTTTCTTTGTCCAAGTTCTGGGGTTGTTTTGAGCCCTGTTTTCACCCGAGCTTTGAAGAGAAGGCCACCCTGAACACCTGTGTGAATATGGCAGTCATGTGTTACAGCACTATTACACGTCTCACATGAATAGGTTTGTTTCTGGAGATTGGTGGTAGTACATGGTTTTAGAACTAGTGACTGTAAGGACTATAAATATATATCCTGTGTATTATTGCTCTCCTAATATAAATGTGTTTATGTTCACATAATTTAAAATGAAAAAATACAAATGAATATATTCAGTCAAGTAAAATATTCACAGGAAACACATAAAGGTCTATATGAGAACAAGAATGGTAAATATTTTCATACTTTCCTGAGCACTTTTCTTCTATGATTAAACTATTCCAAGTACAGAGGTCCTTAAAAGGTCTTCTAAGATTAAGAACTATTTTCAGTATTTCTTTCTTTCTTTATTACTTGGAGGATTGCATGAATACTGAAACTTTCTGTTCCCTGTTCACAATCAGTTGTGAGCCCTTTAATGAACTGTGCCCAGGTGGTTCGTGGTTACTGTTGTTTACATAATTCAGCAACCACAAAGTTTAAGTCTAGAAAAATAAGAACTGGAAAATGGAAAACTGAGACAATTAGCAAATAATCATTTATATAAAAAGATAAGTAAAGGAAATTCTTCATGTATTATCACATTAATTCTTAAGACAACCCTGTAGATAGTCTCATTTCATAGCTTGAGAAACAGAGACAGGAACATTTGTATCTGTGATTTAATCGGGTGCTAAGACACTACTTTGTATGGAATTCTCATTTATGTAATCACTAGACTATTACTATCATCACTACCTGCTATTGTTTACTAAGGGCCTGCCAGATACTATAAGATACTGAAACTTAAATATATTTAAGCCAATTTTCAGGAGAAGAAACAGAAGTTCAGAGAGGTTAAGGAATCTGCTTAAGCTTTTTACTAGTTATGTATTAACCTGGTTGTAGTTCAGATTTGGGTGTGGGAATAGTGATACAAAGGAAGAAATGAACAAAGTTACCAAGTGCTTAGCTGGAGCTAAAATATAGCAAGAGCAGCACCGTTCTTTCTTCCTCACATCAAATACAGTTATTATTTCATTCCTTTACCTTCACTCCGTACCGTGTACACTCTGGCCAGTTTTGCCAAAGGAAAAATAAACCTCAAGCCATCTTACAAAATAAATAACAAATACACATGAAGATTTAAAGATTTGTAGAAGGAAAGGGGCTTGGATATGTAGTTATATGTTGGGAGAGTGAGCATACATAGCTTTTCCAGAGTCCCAGAGTGAAAGTTTTGCCTGTAAGGTAACCAAGGCTTTTCCATTCTAAGGGATTCTGATGGCATAGAGAATGAAGCTACAGCCATTTTGTGATTGTCCCAAATTCCAGATCTCAAAATGCTTTATCCTGACATTAGACACAGTTGTAAGTGAAGAGCTGTAAAAACCCATAATACTTTGTTCGTTCTTTTCTGTTTTTAATTATTTTTTATTTTTCATAGTCATTCTGTTTGTTTATTCTTTCCTTAAGACACTTAATGATTTTATACCTTCTGTTTTCATTATCTGTGCCTCTTTAAATTTTTGTATCCCAGCAGGATATGGCACAGACTCATAAATGCTTGTTGAATACACAAGGGAACACTAAAAAAGGCTTTTGTGGCCAGGCACAGTGGATCACACCTGGAATCCTAGCACCCTGGGAGGCCGAGGCAGGTGGATCACAAGGTCAGGAGACTGAGACCATCCTGGCCAACATGGTGATACCCCATCTCTATTGAAAATAGAAAAATTAGCCAGGCATGGTGCGCACACCTGTAATCCCCGCTACTCGGGAGGCTGAGGCACAAGAATCGCTTGAATCTGGGAGATAGAGGTTGTAGTGAGCCGAGATCACGTCACTCCACTCCAGTCTGGTGACAGAGCAAGACTCTGTCTCAAAAAAAAAAAAAAAAAGGCTTTTGTTAGACCATTTTCTGACTCAGCGTTTCAAATAGTAGATAATTTATCTTTTTACCTTGAATTATATTCTAATGTAAAGAATCAATTTTTTTTTTTTTTACATGGAAGGCCATTGTGCATTAATTCAGCAAACTTCAAATTCTGCTGCATGTAAGTTATTGGGTAACAAGGATATGAAGCATGATGCAAGTTTAAGGAAGTCACAGCCTAGCAGAATTCTAGATAAGAAAAAAAGTGTTAAAACATATAAAAAGGACTTTCTTCTTGAACTTTTCAAATTTATGAAGAAAATTACGAAAATCGTAAAGAAAAATACACTTTACATTGTTTATAAGAACTAGGACAGACTCTCATGTTGGTGATAAAAGTCAAAATTGGATTGAATAACTCATTATTTTGGCTTTGTGTTTATATGCTGTTTATGTAACCCATCTTAAACATATTTCTAAATTTTGAGGGAATACCATCATGGTCATTATGGAATTCATATGTAGCTATGCCTGTTATATTTACATGTGAGCATGTAGCATGTACGATGTGTTTATATAACTGTATTTAATTATTGAATGTGAATTAAAGTAGGTGTTTAGAGAAATGCAATGATGAAGACAAAAATAAGTTTTGTATTTCGAACAAAATTATAGCTTTCCCTAGGGCGTTGTTTTTGTTTGTTATTTTAATAAGAAACCATAGAATTTGAATGGGTGAAAGTATGATAATATCTGCATTTGACCACTGAACTGTAGTGCTGTCTAAAAGGTGTTTTGCAGACACTCAGAGGAATTGGCTCTGACAGCAGCCCACTCAGCCAAGAAATTTGACTGTCATCTTCATCCACTTGCTTTCCCTGACATGGATGACCTGTAAATAATTGTGTCTTTTTCTTAGTGAATGATGACAGGTCCCTATCTATCAAATTGCACTACATAAATGAGATAGAAGCCATTGAATTTAGAAACAGTTGAAATTAATCTAATGATTCATTGTTTTTTTTTTTATTTCCTTGGCCTTCTCTCTTGAATGTAGAACAGTTTCTGTTGCAGAATTGCCAAGTTAGATTTCAATCATTCCAAATGTTTTTTGTTGTTGTTGTTTTGTCATTATACTTTAAGTTCTGGGGTACATGTGCAGGACATGCAGGTTTGTTACATAGGTATACACATGCCATGGTGGTTTGCTGCACCTATCAACCCGTCATCTGCATTAGGTATTTCCCCTAATGCTATCCTTCCCCTAGCCCCCCACCCCCAGACAGGCCCTGGTGTGTGATGTTCCCCGCCCTGTGTCCATATGTTCTCATTGTTTGGCTCCCACTTATGAGTGAGAACATGAGGTGTTTGGTTTTCTGTTGCTGTGTTAGTTTGCTGAGAATTATGGCTCCTAAACAAAGCACATGATCAAGTGATGTTCGGATACTTCAAGGACTGCATGAACAATTCAATTTGATCATGTTTCTGGGTCACTAGATAGTATGACATAAAGACCGAGGCCTGGCAGGGTACATGTTTGTATCTATATGTTTTATGGTTTGGCAGCAGTAAATAAAAGAGAGTGTCTGTGTATGTATGCATATGTGTGAATGCATGTGTGTGAGTCCCCATCCCCATTTAATCATTCTGTTACCTTTCTGCTTCCAGTTACTTGACTAAGTATCCTTTCCCCTCTCTCTTCAACTAGGACTTCTT